TGTGTACCTATAGGTTTTATTGTCATCACATTCGTATGTGTAAATATTGCTAATAATATAACACTTTAACTAATAAAAAGTATTTCTGGCGTCAAGCTCAAATCAAATTTACTTATTTACGAAGTTTCCTTTTCTTCCTTTGCTAAACAAATCTCTGACGTCGATGGAGTCAAGACTTGAGAATCGGTAAAGTTCTTCTAAACAGGGTGGTGTCTCATTGCCCGCTCGAAACTAGCTCAAATCAAAGATCGACTTTTGTTCACGCTCACCCGATATTCCACACCGCAAAAGATTATTATCGAACCACTTTGAGGTACACTCAAACCGACCTGTGCATCGGATGGCTCCGCTGTCTGGCGTGTATGTCATTTACGTCTCCTTTAACGGTCCTACGACTTCGCAACAAACTGGAATGCGTGGCGCATCTCGAGAAAAGACCTATCATGGCTTAGCTGTTCGTTCATGTGCCTATGAAGTGAGAACAGTCAGCAGCGAAGCGAGTGAGTTGAGTGGCTCGAAAAACTCATTTGCAAAGCTGAGGCACTTCTTCTCTATCTCTTTTCCTTTGGTCTCAACCCATATCATAGAACTCTAGGATAATCTTTCAGAGGTGGGATCTTCCTCCATTGCAACCTCGGGTTCTGTTGAACTAGCGGTAAAATAACAAAAAAAACGAATCCCGGGTAAACAGACCATCCGCTGAAATACAAGAAAGCACTCATGTGAAATCTTCATTAACCCGTGTTTGAATATTATGACTGAGCTGTAATGGTAAGCTCCGAAAATGGTGTGGACGCAAAAATACCATTTTTAGAGAGCATCGAAAGGAAACAGCCTGAGCCCATTTGTGCGTCAACGACATTTCAGAAACGAACGGCAATTGCACAGAGACGAATCGAGCAGGTGCAGGATGGGGTTTGGTAAGTCAGCGAATGAGGAAGCCTAGGCTGATGCAGTGACGTGCACAATAACTGCAGATGGTATAAACAAATCAGCCCTCACAACGTAAGCAATTGATAAATGATCAAGTAACATCAAATTAAACAACAGTTGATACAATTAAGCATAAACTTTAGACACATATATAACCGGGAATTGTGAGAAAGTAGAGGTAATATCAATATGGAGATTTTGGTGAAATTAGCGAGCCGATGACGTTGGTATTTCCGCCATTTCAAGGCGAACGTCGATGCTGAAACAAATGAAGATTAATCGAAACGCAAGGAATGACAGTTTCGCTTTCGCCATGTCCGTATTAGAGTGTCGCGCTTGAAATGCAAATTTATGATGCATCTCGCTCTACACTGCCTCCTTACCTTGTTTTTTGTTTCTATTTTGCTATATGTTTGTAGATGCTGTGGTAAATACCGCTCTCAGCACTTCAAACTCATTGTCAGCGTCACTCTGGCATGACTAGGGATTCATTTTCAGGACACAAATATCTTATAAAGGACTCATGAAAAAAAGACTTCCTTTCCTGAGCCTCTAAAAAACCTCAGCTGAATTATTTACCTTGCTGGCGAATTATTGGGTGGCGGTGGCCGTTCTTGCATTGGAAATGTTGTGGTGTCCTGGAAAAAGAAAGAAAGCGTGTTGGTGGAAGTAATAGAAGAGATATAGTTTGTACTAGGTTAGTTAGGGTATCAAATTAAAGGAAATAGGGAAGTATATTTCGGACGAATCTGACCAGAAGACGAAGACCTTGGACATTTGTCATGGAGCATAATTTGTCTTGAACTCTCACATTTTTCGCAGCATCCCAACAGATATTACCACATTAACCGTTTGTATCCTAATTAACACATTGACGACATTGAGACGCGGTAACGCGTCTCACTTTGCGCACCTCGTTGGACATTGAGACGCGTTACCGCGTCTCACCCTTATCATCCCTTTTTCTAGGGCATGCGCAGCTTTTTCCCGAATTGTTTGTCTCTCTTCTATGGATTAGAACATAACATTATTGTGAACGACATAGGTCATTGTTTGTTCAAATATGCTCCAGTTTAGAAGAAGTTTTCCAAGCTCACCGAAACCGGCGGCTTGGTTCATTAATAGTTTTCATGCTATTCTCATGAACACGTCAATAAAAAAGGGTAGTGAAAGTAAATGCAAATCTAAAGAGACAGAAAAATACATGTTTCACTTGGTATAACCACATCAAAAGAGCTTTTGGCATCCACTACAGATAAAATGACTAAAATTTCCTTTTTCATTACCATTACATGTTCTTTAATCGGAACTTCGTCACTATATACTCTATTACCTTCTACGCATTGACTGTTACTGAGATGTTTTTGTACCACTGGTGCTTTAAAAAGTTATCAATAAAAATTCACGGATCCGAGGTGCGGCGGTCGCACTCGCAAAATCGGCCCGGTCCCACACGGCCAAAAAAGCCAAAACGCGCGCGGTCGTCAATGTGTTAAGGAACCTTTCGCAAAGCTAGTTTCTGGAACTTTTCTACTGCTTCGACTACTTGCTTCGCCGATGGAATCACGAAAACAAAGATTCAGGTTATATGGTAGCAAAATACAAAGAAATAGAGGCGTGTGGCGGCTCCTTAGAATCTCCACAGCCTGATTTTGTTCATGTAAGCAAAATTTGGACTGATGCGAAAGTAAATTCAGCGATTTGAAACATATAACACATGAGTCTCGAAATGTTTTCATATCGACATTTATGCATTCATTCTTTTGATTGATATAACTAATGTCAGTTCCTGATTGAGCACCGCCTTGCCTACGTTTCTTTGTCTTTTGAACCACCAGTTCCTGACTCGTCTATTTGGGATGATGCGAGAATGGAGAAACTGTATGCGTTTTTTTTGGTGTTGTCTAATGTTGTTTCTCATTCTGCAAAGAAAAAATGGAATTCCAAGACGTTGCAACAAAAATAGCATGATGAATTTCGGATAATGTGCGGTGTAGGGGGGGGGGGGGGGGGGGGGGGGGGGGGGGGGGGGGGGGGGGGGGGGGGGTGGTTGAGCAGTGCCTCAATGATTGAGGAATCTGCGGCCGGGCGGATTCTCATTATAGATCGGAGAATTCGCTCCAGTAAGTCAACTCACTTTCCCGTGAGTGGTCCAAATAAAGTCTTGGCATTGACCAATTACACTTTCCAGTGCAGGAACTTCTGGGATTGCCACTACTCTTCACCAGAAAAATTCTTTCAAAAAATTTATAAATCTTTATGTTACACGATCTTATGAAAAGCAATGGGGCATCTCGGACAGCCCAGTGGTTCCTTTTCGTATGTCCTGAAATTCTTTTTTAGATTTCTGGCACCAAAACCCATGTTCTTTGAACGTTATGAACTGGGTGGCATTGTATTCAGCACCTAACCCCCAACACAAATATTTGCAGAGAACTCCGTCCGCCTGGCGCAAAAAATCATCATGGCAACGTGTAACAGCCACAAACTACATACATCTGGATTTCATCACGCGTGCAAGTGTTCTAAAGATCCTCACGGAGACATTTTACTACTTACACTAGCATTACAGTTTTCCACTTCTCCGCACCATCACAAAATAACGAGACAGAACCAAGGAGGTCGTAAGCAATTTTTTTAAGCAGCTTTCTGGAATACCAAAGGGGCCTGGTGAACTTTCGAGCTTTTTGGGCTCTGCCGATCTGATTAGGCAACACCAAGTGCCCCCCATCCAAACTATAATCACAAAGCCAATTATGTGTAGCTGGATTGCACGCATTCTGCGAAGGCATTTAAGTTGTGAAAATCTCAGCAAACCCGCGGTAAGGCGTGATACGAGATAGCGTGTAGTAGAATTTTGCAATTCCCGAAAACGCGGGTACTTTGCTGCAATTCTAGAACATGATGAAGTCACGACCCGTCTTAAAACGATATCCGACCGATCGTGAAGAACCTACCTAGCTAAGAAAGGCATGCAGCTTCCAATGAAACTTTCGAACCTAGACCCAAATATGTTGATAGAGCTTCTAAGCATTGATTACAAATATGAGAACTAAAATTGCAAAATGAACATGCCAAGTAAATTGTGAGCGGTCAAAGTTGACTGAAATAAAGCGTTTCATATGAACCGTGGCTACCGTCCGGACATCCAAATCGCCATGGAGTAGTATGGTAGTTGCTCCTCGAAAAGTATATGCCAGCTCCCACGAAGAATAACGCGCGACCCCCGCTAAAAGCAAGGACACTACCACTACTAAAAAAAACCCCGGAAGCTAGCCTGTTTCATATGTAAAGCTATACTTTCAACCAACCTTGACTGCTCACAACTTTCTTGACAGATTAATTTTTCAGTTTTATTTTCCAATTTAATTTTAGTTTTACTTTCCAATCATTTTCCAATCGTAAGCAGCGTTTGAAGCCCCTATCGATATGTCTGGTCTTGATTCGCAGCTGCATGGAAGTTGCATGCTTCTCATGGCAGGTGGACAAAAAGGGCTTTTGCTCTAAGAACTTTCATAAAGAAAAGTTGGAAATGGAGCTCTTTCACGACACCTTGTCTTCCTACAAAATTGGTCCTGTGGTGTGCTTTTTTTAAAGGAAGTGGGGTGAAAAAAGCGTAAAAATGTTTGATTTTCAATGACACATGCATGATAAAAACGACTGCGGTTTATCAACATGAACAAACATACCGTAGGCGATACAGGACTGCTCGGTGCTGACCGTACGGCTTCTTCATACGTAGGCGGTGCATCAAATTTCGGATCATACTGAGATGGTGTGATGTACATCGGCAGATCAGTCATTCGTGGGAAGGCCGGAATCACCGGCAGGTCAGAGTTGGACGACAACGAATTCCGAGCTCCAGTCAGCGTAAATCGCTGAAAAAACTAAAGCTCGAGACTTCAAAATGTACATAACGACAATAATCCAACAATAAGGAACACTGCCTGGCTAAAGGGTAGTCAAATTTCGAGCTCACTATACACCGTGACCGTACATACAGCCTTTTTGGGGGTCTGCCTCACGAGCTGAATGAGTGAGCTTAAAAAACGGACATTTCGGTTCTGTTGATAAGGAGTAAAAGATAGGAGCGCTCGTTTATCCTTCTTAGGTATGGGCAAGACATTCTACTTCCATTCAGCATTTGAATATTATTCGGCCTATGCAATTCTTGCGAGTGGAAAGATGTACAGTTCCGGTTACTCATCCTTATACACGAGAATAGTACCGGGCAAGGTCTCCGGGGTATGCAAGGATTGGTTGGTTCAGACGACATTGGAACCGAGTTCGGGCCAAGGCCCTTCACTCAAGGAGTCATCACCACTACAATAACTTCAACCAGCATTTGATCATAATGGTTAGGCCCCGTTCATAGATCGCGGTTAATGCGATTTGACGATTTAGCGGCTATGGTGTACTCCTTTGAACATAACCTCCAAATCGTCAAATCGCTTTATCGCGTAATCGGCAAATTTCAGATCGATACGTATGTTTTCCTGTCAGCATTAGCGCCATTTCGCTATAACCGCAATGTATGAAGGGGTTTGTTACATATGTTGGCCGAGATCACCTTGATCAGAGCTAAAACTGTAGCCGTCAGGAGATCAGCCAGCTCTCTCGAGAAGGGCTCGAAGAGAACTTTGGACCAGGGCGTTTGAGATATGGCATATGGAGCCACCTGCGTCTTGTCACCACCACCGAACCATTAATATGAGTATGCGTGAGTTCGTACCATTAGATTACCTGCACCCCCCCCCCCCACTATCCATGGCCTGATGGCCGAACCTGAGTCCAACTGCCAGAATTTCTTCATTATTTTATTTTAATAGGATCCTTCTCGTTTTACTGAAGTGAAAATCAATAGCATCATCGAAAAAGTTTCCTGAAGTGGATGAAAACATTCAGGCAGCCTGTGGCTCTAGGTTTGGAAACGTTTCTGATTTACAATGTCCCTTTAGCGTTGGGGTATCGTGTGTAGGGGCAACGAGTCAACGGTTTCGCTCAGGTTACGAGACCACTCGCATGGATCACTAACCACACATCGCACATCGGCACGTCGAGTCCTCTCGGAGCACATTTGAATTGCTCATGAAGGTGGGTGGGCATTGAGCTATTTTCAGACAAAACCACCTGAATTGGAGCAGTCTCAAGGGGAAACACATGATCATTCCAGAGAATACGAATCTCAAGGGTATTTGAAGGTATCAAAGTGATACCAGCAGTCAAAAGTGTTTGCCGGAATGGGTGTTTTCATGCATATTTTTTAACCCCACTAACAGCTTTTTTGCCAATTTTTGGGTTCTAATATCTTGAGAATTCAAAAAATACTGAAAAACATGACCAACTATAATATGAGGCCAATTTATCATGATGGTGATTCGCCTAAAGACAAATATTATCGACCGCTAGTGCACGTCTAGCTGGTAGGAAAATTCAGCAGAGCAAGAAGGGAACCACTTTTGCGGAAAAAAGAAACGTCAAAGATTAAAGACGAGAGTGATGAAGTATAAGCGGCACCCAACTCATCCGGACTTCAAGAGGCGTGTACATATTCCATCTAACAGATCGTAGTGTATAGTTATTTTCACCCCAACTGGGCATTTTTCGAATCATCTGAGACAGTTTCTTGTCAAACTAGAACACTGCTTTTGACATTTCGACATTTCACCTAGGGTACGTTTTCAAAATGATTTGCACAGGTTACCAAGGAGACTGAAATATGTCGAATTGACCCCTCATTATTTTCTATGGCGAAATGTCTGCCTATGAAATGTCATTTTTTGTGAAACAAGCAGGAGTTGTTTTCACAAACGCGGCGGAACAAAAATGAGTACATTTGGGTAATAAAAAAATCAAGCTACCTCCAATTCAGCAGCACTTCTGTTTTGTAATGAGCCTTATTTTTTGGAATCTTTTACTTCATCGAATCTTTCCGTGAAAAGCAAACGCTCTTTAAGAAACGCAAAGAATCAATAAGATAACAGGGAGTTCTTCATTTAACGCTGCCGTCACGTTCACCACCATTTGGAGGCCACAATCATACGTTTGTTGATTTATTAACCCATCTTCTGACATGTACCTAACCATTTCTGCAGCTCAAATTTCAACGTCAGAAGCAGAGCCCACCGCTCTTTATTCCGTTGCTTACGGGTTGGCCGAAATAGAGAACTCTACAGCTAACTAAAAGCCGGATTTTGAT